TCTACCACTTGTGCCACACCTCTAGTTCCCTGCTTTTGGCTGGTTAACTGGAGATGGGAGTCTCAAGAACTTTCCTGTCTGAGCTAGCTTTGAACCAGCGTTTCAGCCTCCTCTCCGAACCCTCCCGTTCCATCCTCCTCATTGGGTAGGATTAGGGACATGACCACAGGTGCCCAGCTTGCTGGGAAACCTTTATAGGTATTGCTATTTACATATACTAATTTGTTTATTTTCTGTTGGTCCATTGTGGGGCTTGAACTCAGGGCCTGGGCGCTGTCCCTGAGCTTTTTTGCTCAAGGCTAGCGCTCTACCACCTGAGCCACAGCAGCCTCACGGGCTTTTCCTGCGTGGCTTTGAACCGTGAGCCTCAGATCTCAGCCTCTGGGTCTCTGGGATGACTGGCGTTAGCCGCCAGCACCCGGCTTTGCACATAGGAATCGGATGAAGCGGTAGCTCTGTCACTGGCAAGTTTATTAGTGGTGCTTTTCATCTCTGCTTGTACTGTTTCCTTCCACACCGCACCTTCTCCCGAGGGCTTGGCCATCCCATCCGGTCTGGGACATCCGGCCTTCCAGCCATCTTCAGTCAGTGTGTGGGGGATTTTGAAGTTGATTCTGCATCTTCTTTTTGCTGAGCAGTCTGGATCCTAGTGTTTAACGGGCTGAGTGATCTTGGGTGGGAAAGCCTCGGAGGCATTTTTGGCTCATTGAGAAGGACATAGTTAATCTCTGGCCACAATCTTAAAAGCTTAAATTTTTTTTGAAAACAAAAACACACATGTTCCCTGCCTTCCTAGCCTCACATTTTCCAGTCAGGACCACGATGCTATACTTCCTTTTGTTAGACCTTTTACTTCACCAGGTTGCTTATTTAGACCTAATTTTACCTGTATGCAAATCCACAGAGTGGCTGGGTAGGAATGCACCTCAGGATTTGTTTGTGTTACTGGCCTGCTCTGTGGCCTCAGGACATTTGCTTCACAACCAGCCACCGTGGAGAAAGTTCTAGCTGAGAAACTTTCACAGGTTTTTTTCCCCTCACTTGCACATACCTACTGGCGACCTCAGTGACCTTGAACAAATTACCTGGTGTTAACACCAGTAATACTTATTACCTACTTATTTCTCACCCTTGCTACAAGATTCAGAAGACACATTCAAATAGATCACAAAGTATATTACAGTTAACTCCAGATCTATGCAGACTTTATGCCTTGAAAATATTTTCTTGTGGCCAGGCACTGGTGGCTTGTGTCTGCAATCCCAGCTACAGGAGGCTGAGATCTGAAGATCATAGTTCAAAACCAGCCCAGGCAGGAAAGTCTGTGAGGCCCTTATCTCGAAGTAAATACTAGAAAACTGAAGTGGAGCTTTGGTTCATGTGGTAGAATGCAAGCTAGCCTTGAACAGAAAACTCAGGAAGAGCATCCAGGCCATGAGGGCCAGCATCAAAAAAGTAAAGTAAAAATTAAACATTAAAAAATCTTATTCAGCATATGTTTTACCTCCATTTTGAAAATAAATCTTGATGTAAATGTTGGTTGTGATTAAGAGGAGAGTTGTGATCATTTTCTGCCAGGTTTTATCCATGCTCTGTGTATTTTTTCCTTGGCTTTTGAGTACTCAGTTGTGCATGTTGTTTTTTCTTTCTTTTCTGTGTGTGCCAGTACTGGGGTTTGAACGTAGGGCCTTGCTTGCTGGCTTATTAGCATTTTTCGCTCATGGCAGGTACTCTACCACATGAGCCGTGCCTCTACTTGTGGCATTTTGCTGGTTCATTGGAGATAAATGTGTCATGGACTTTCCTGCTGGGGCTGGCTTTGAACCGGAATCCTTCGATCTCAGCTTCCTGAGCACCTGAGATTGTACAGGTGTGAGTTACTGGTGCCTGGCTCTCTCATTTTCCTTGGTAACTTCTCTTCATGTCCATCCTTCCCTTTCTTCCACACCGTGTCTCTGCGTTCTGCCGGTGTGAAGGAGTTTGTGCTTCCTGAAATTCGAGATCAATGCCTTCATGTAATAGACGTTTCAGATTTGATCTGACTCCTTGCACTCTCAATAATATGTGGCGATTTCATTTAGGCTGATTCATGCCCCAGTGACTTATTTCTTGCTGTTGTTAAATGGTCCATTGTAGAAATAAACAGGGATTTGTTTGTGTGCTTATCTGTTAATGGACATTTGGGTTTGACTCTGGGGCTGATGTATCTTCGCTTTTACAAAAAGAGGCCAACAGTTTCCAAAAGATAGTCTCACTGACTTATTTATATTTTTGACAGTAATGGGATTTGAACTCAGCACTTTGCCAGGCTAGCATTATACTGTTCTGCCCTATTTCTCCCTCCCTCCCTCCTTCCATCTTTCCTTCCTTCCTTTCTTTATCCCTCCCTCCCTCCTTCTTCCCTTCCTGTCTTCCTCTTCTTTCCTACCACTAGAATCTGAACTCAAGGCCTTAAACTTGCTATGCAGGTATCCTCTGTCCTTGGAGCCGTTCCTCCAGCTTCCTCTTTTTAAAATTCTTTTATGGGGGGGGAGGGAGGGATTTGAACTCCTCAAGGCCTGGGCTTTTGAGTGGTGTTCTACCGGTTGAGCCACACCTCCAGTCCAGCGCTTTTCAGAATAATTAGACAAAGAGTCTTGAGACTTTGTTGCCCGGGCTAGTCTTAAACCTGGATCCTCATATCTGTTTTGTGAGTAGCTGGGGTTACAGGTATGAGCCGCTGGTACCTGACTTTCTGGCTCCTTCTTTCTAGTGACTTTTGAAAAGTAGGAGTTGTTACTTTGCATGAAGCCCAGTTTATGCATTGTGTTCTTTTATAGATTGTGCTTCTTTTTTTGGGGGGTGGTGGTGGTCCGGTTGTGGGGCCTGAACTCTGGGCCTGGGCGCTGTCCCTCAGCTCTTCAGCTCAAGGTTAGCACTCTACCACTTGAGCCACAGTGTCACTTCTGGCTTTTTTTTCTGCTTATGTGGTACTGGGGAATCGAACCCAGGGCCTCATGCATGCAAGGCAAGCGCTCTACCACTGAGCCACCTTCCCAGCCCTAGATTGTACTTCTGATGGCATACTTAAGGATTCTTTGTGACTCAGGGTCACAAAGATTTTTCTGTTTTTTTTTCCTAGAAGATTGATAGCTTTAGGTTTTCGATTCAGATCTATACTTGTTTTGTGTAAATTGTTATATGAAGGAGCATCAAAGTTTATTTTCTACATACAGAAATACAGTTCTTTCAACATTGTTTATTAAAAAGAGTACTTTTCCTCTATTGAATTACCTTTTCCCTGTCTCTAAAATCTGTTTTTATGTTCCTTTCTACTGTATCCATTGACTTTCTTAACTAATTACTGCAAACTAAATGAAGAAGAACTAGGTCCAGTTCTTTGTTTGGCTGCATGCTGGGCAGATGTTCTACCACTTGAGCCACACTTCTAGCTTGTCTTTTTGCTGGTTATATTACAGGTGGAGGCTCTTAGACTTTTCTGCCCAGGGCTGGCTTTGAACTGTGATTCTCTGTATCTCTGCCTCCTGAGGAGTTCAGATTACAGCCCTGAACCACTGGCGCCAGGCCAAATCCAGTTCTTTTTTTTTTCTTTAATGTTGGTCATGGAAGCTTGAACTCAGGCCTGGGCACTGTCCCTGAGTCTCTCACACTCTGCTGCTTTGAGTCACAGTACCACTTCTGGGTTTCTGGTGGTTTTAATTGGAGATAAGAGTCTCCACACCAGCCCAGGCTGGCTTTGAATCACGATCCTCAGATCTCAGCCTCCTGAGTAGCCAGCATGACAGGCGTGAGCCACCAGCGCTCAGCTTAAATCCAGTTCTTGGTAGTGTGTTTTTGCCACATTTAATAAAACTTCCTTAAAAAAATCCTTCCGCAGTGTGGAAACTTTCCAGACTTAAACATTCCATCATCGTTTCCTTTGTCTTTTATTTATTTTCAGTAGTTGTACTGAGGGGTTTCATTTCAACAAGACTTTCCTTTGTATATGCTGATGTTATAAGAATAAACCGAAACTTCCTGTTTGAGAAACTTCAAAGCCTTTAGATGGTTTTCTTCATTTCTCTCTTTGGAAATGCTCTAGCCTAGATCTTCCCCTTTGATTTATTTTTCTGGTGCTTTTAGTCCCTTTCTTTTGTTATTTATTTATTTACTGACTGACTTATTGACTTAATTTTGTGCTGGTCCTGAGGCTTGAACTCAGGGCCTGGGCACTGCCCCTGAGCTTTTTTTCTCAAGGCTGGTGCTCTGCCACTGGAATTACAGTCCACTTTGGCCTTTTTGGTGTTTTGTGGCGAGTTACAGGGTTCTCATGGATTTCCTTCCTGGGCTGGCTTTGAACAGCCATCCTCCAGACCTCGGCCTCCTAAGTAGCTGGCATTGCAGGCATAACCACAGCGCTCGGCTTGCTTTTTGAGGTAGCTACTGGAGTGAATGCACACTGAACTCACCCGCCTGGCTGTGCGCTGGGGCAATCCCGAGGACCTGTTACAATTCAGGGTTGATTCTGTCTGCACAAATCCCTCATCCTCCATCCTGACAGCCTGGCAGCAGTGTGCTGGGGCTCCGGGCTCACCAAGATCGCTTCTAGCATGTTCTTTCTCAGCCAGCTTCATACAGAGGGCATCCGTCGGTTTCTGTTTTTATTTTTAGTGTGTGTGTGTGTGTGTGTGTGTGTGTGTGTGTGTGTTTAACAACATCTCACTTATCAGGAACTTTCTAGAAGCTATCCCTATCTTTATACCTGAGAGAGCCAAATACAGAATTGTAACCATTGCGCTCCAGGGAGACACTGTAGCCCTAACGTAACACAGTTAATTTGTAACATATTTACCCTCTGGGCTCTTTCTGTCTTTAGCTGTTAGTTCATCTAAAGTTGAGCTGTGGGTCTTTCCTTTTATGGAGGCCAAGGCACAAAGCTCTCCCTCACTGTCTGCAGGGAGTCCTGACACCCAGAGGCAGCGATTGCACTCAGCGTGGACTCCACCGAGGGGCAGCAGGGGGCCTGGAAACTTCTGGTAGTCTCTCTCAGGTCTGTGTCTGCAGTACCTGCTTTCCTTCTTGCCTTTTCTCCATTCTTTTTCCTTTTCCCATTTCTTCTTTCCTTTTTTTCTTTCTTTTTTGTTTTGTGCCAGTCCTGGGCCTGAACCCTGTCTCACATCTCGTGTTCACCACTTGCGCCACAGCTCCACATCCAGCCTTTTTGTGTTTCCTTAGAGATAAGAGTCTCATGGACTTTTCTACCCAGGCTGCCTTTCAAACTGGAATCCTCCAATCTCAGCCTCCCGAGTAGCTGGGATTAAGGCACGTGCCAGCAACAGCAGGCAGAATTAAGTAGCGCAGAGCTGTGTAATAATGGCATTGCCTGGTCTGAGCCTGGTGTCTGTTCCTGCTCAGGACAGAAGATTCCAGATTTGTTCAGTTACTTCCCTGCTAGACTGTGGTCTTCATCAGAGCACTGTGGTACTTAGCTCTCCACGGCCGTTATCTGTAACGGCAGGCAGTGAGCGGGTTCACTGTGCTGTCGGTATTTATGTCTCCACCATCGCCGCACTGTCCTCCGGCTTTCACATGTCCATGAAGCCAGGAGTTCAACCTGGAACACAGCTCACTAGTAAGTTCTAGTTCCGGGCATCTGCGAGATGGTGCTGACATCTAGGTGGAAGGCCCAGAGAGCACTTCAGCACTTCAGCAAGCCCAGCGCCTGTGGGCACGCCAGTAATCCCAGCTGCACAGGAGGCTGAGCTCTGAGGATCCCAGCTCAGCATCAGTCCAGCAGGAAAGTCTATGAAATTCCTTATTTTCTTTTTTTTTGTTTTTTGTTTTTTGCCGGTCATGGGGCCTGAACTCTGGGTCTGGGCGCTGACCTTCAGCTCTTCAGCTCAAGGTTAGTGCTCTACCACTGGAGCCACAGCGCCACTTCTGGCTTTTTCTGCTTATGTTGTGCTGAGGAATCGAACCCAGGGCCTCATACTTGCAAGGCAAGCACTCTACCGCTGAGCTACCTTCCCAGCCTCGAAATTCCTTATTTTCAAACAATCACCCAGAAGTGGAGCTGTGGCTCAAGTAGTAGAGCACCAGCCAGCCTTGTGTGACAAAGGTAAAGGACAGCATCAGGTCCTGAGTTCCTGAGTTCAAGCCCTAGGGAAGGAAGGAATGAATGAACGCGAACTAAAGAACTTCATCAAATAGTGAGATATTCCAGAAAATGATGTGAGTCCCCAGAGGACAGGAAAGGCAGGATGACGTCTGATTTGTGGAAAGGTTTCATTGGACTGTGAGGATAGGAGCAATGAGAGCGTGGCTGAGAAGCTTGAAGGTGAAGGTACTCATTACAGTGAGATTTATGATCATAAAGACTGGAAACATTCAGCGGCCGGCACCGGGGCGCTGGTTAATTGAATTGTAATTTGGGCACCAGATGGACTTTTATATGGCCATTAAAAGTTTTTCATGGTCTGGCACTGGTAGTTCATGGCTGTCATCCTAGCTACTCAGGAGGCTGAGATCTGAGGATCCTGGTTCAAAGCCAGCCCAGGCAGGAGAGTCCCTAAGACACTAATCTCCAGTTAACAAGCAAAAGGCTGGAAATGGAGCTGTGATTGAAGTGATAGAGTGCCAGCTTTGGAAAAAACAAAACAAAACATAGCTGAGGACAGCACCCAGGCCCTGAGTTCAAGCCCCAGGCCCAGCACACACACACACAGTCTTCTCACAATTCATTTACCCTAAAAGAGATAAGATGTTCAGTCCTGCTCACAAAAACCTACAAATCTAGAACCTGTTCCTGTCTGTCTGGTAAACACTGATGTTATTATAAGGTGCTGAGTTCGGGTGAATTTTCAAACGACCCCCCTAACATTTTCTTCTATCAAACCTGAGTGAGAAGAAACCCAAATTTCTCTTGGAATAGCGCGAACTATTCTAGATCTTTCCAGTGGAGGAGGTAATTGCGATTTCCATTTGGTATCCTGTCCTTGGCAGGCTTGTTTCTGTGGCTGAGGGACCGGAAGGTGCTAGAAGCCCTCTGAGGCCGGTTGCCTGTTTGCAGCACAGGGCAGAGTGAGCCGTAGGCCCTGACCCACTTGGATGGGGTGGGGAGGGACTGCGTTCATGAAGTCAGGACCTAGCGCTTTCACTTCGCTTTTCCATCCAAGGCGGGTGCTCTACCACTTGGGTTACACCTTCACTTCTGGCTTTTTGGTGATTTAAAAAGTCCGAGAGACTCTCAGGACTTTCTGCCCAGGCTATCCTCTGTGATCCTCAGATCTTAGCCTCCTAAGTAGCTGGGATAGAAGTGTGAATCACCAGCATCCAGCCCAGAAAACTAGTTGTTCCCCTCACCACCACCCCCAGCTGCTTTATGGCCGTATCTTTGATTCTTTTTCTTTTCTTCTTTTTCCTATGCCCATTCTGGGACTTGAACTCAGGGCATGGGTGCTGTCTTTGAGCCTTTTAGCTCAAGGCTAGCACTCCATTTCTGGACTTTGGCTGGTTCATTGGAGGTAAGAGTCTCACAGCGGATAGAGATCATTTTTTTAGGTAGTATTTACTAGCAAGCCACACAAGGCATCTAGTTTCTAGAACTTGATGGGCTCTGTGTTTAGTGTTCTGACTCATTTCTCGGGAGCATGAACTCACAGCAGAGCCAAGCGTGACATGGTGCAGGAAAGATCCTTACTCTTCCCTTTGCCATCTGGGTCACAGGCTACCAGATCCCTCCACTGTTCAAAGAGCGTGACTGATGTCTAACGCATTTCCCCAGACCCACATGACAAGCCTTGCCTTTCACAAACCGTGTGAGCCTGTTTCTAACTTTCACAGAACAGTTAGCAAGATATGGTGTGTCTTTGCCAAGAAGACTAAGGGAACGTTGTCTTCTGGGTGTCTGAAGAAGCACCGGAAGCGTTCTGGTTTGGGAAATTGTCAGCTTCACCTTGAACACGGTGCCCCTTGTATCACGAGAGTTTAGGACAGCCCACATAGCAGTCAAAGTGTCCCAGACTCTGGTACTGAAATAGGTTAAAAAGTAAATTAAAGCATTGAGACACATCTCTTAGACTGCTGATGTATTTATCTAGGGAGATTACATTATTCTTTATGCATTCTCTGGAGAAAAAATGTGTATCTGTGGACAGGCATGTTAACTTGTGGAGAAAATGGTCTTAATAAGATGCTGGTAGTGGGCTATGAAATCATGTTCACACAGCCTGCCCATGATGAGCTGGTGCTATGTCTGATTAGTGCACATTTGCATATAGCTTGCCTTCCTGTAGCCCAAAAGTAGGTGAAATTTAGGTGTGGTTTACCTACTGTAGAAAGAATTCAGGGCTAATATTTTATAGATTTCTATTGCTGAAGTAAAACTGAGGTTTGATACCCTGCATCGCTCACATCCATCCATCCACCTGCCTGTCCATTCATCCATCATTCATCCATGCACCCACATCCCATCCACCCATCTATCCATCCACCCATCATCTGCCACCCACCTACCCACCCATCATTCATCTATGCACCCAACCGTCCATCCATCCAGCTAGCATCCATCTATCCACTTGTCTATCATCTGTCCATCCGTCTACTATCCACCCATCTATCCATCCACCCATCATTCATCTATGCACCCAACCATCCATCCATTCCGCTACCATCCATCTATCCACTCGTCTATCATCTGTCCGTCTACCATCCACCCATCTATCCATCTACTCATTATCCATCCACCCACCCATGCGCCTAACCATTCAGCCAGCCACTCACACAGCCATCTGTCTGTCCATCATCTGTCCATCCACCCACATCTCCATCCACCCATCTACCATCCATCATCCATCCATGCACCCGACATCCATCCATCCAGCTACCCATCCATTTAGCCACTCATCTATCATCTATCCATCCATCCACCCATCCATTCATCATCTATCCATCCATCTACCCACTCATCTGGCCAGCCCCCGTCCATCCACAGTCCATCTACCCATCCATCCACCCATTCCATCCATCCATCTTTCCACTTAACACCACCCACAAAACACATTAAATAAACTATGGCCCAGTAAACACTATTTACATGCATATACACACAAATATATATAGAAATAGCGTTCACTAGGAGATGGGTGTGCATGTGTGCATGCATGTGCTAAAGTCAAAGGGGTGTTTCCGACTCTGCTGGATTGGAACCATGTTCCTCAGATCTCAGCCTCCTGAGTAGCTGGGATTGCAGATGTGACCACCAGACGCCCAGCTTAGACTGGAATAGTTCCACCTCAGAGCATGTGCACACTTGTCCTGATGGCTAAATTTTAATTTACGGTTAACCTGTACTTGCTGTTATTCAGAGTTGCCCGAGATGAAACACATTGGATTTTTCCATTCTGTCTTCACATTTCATGCCTTTCTCTCATTTGCTTCTAGTTAAGTAATAACTTTTGGGAGCCAAGATACTTGGTTACTTTGTTTCTGCTGTGAGTTGAGAGACTGTTTATAAACTCAGTCACATGATGCCATTCCTCTTGGGAGGACTGAGCATTCTTTTTATCTTTTCCAATGGAGAATATTTACCATTGCTCTCTATTTCCTGGCTGCATTTGTGGGATTTTAAACTTAAAAATTCAATGGATTAGTCAGGCCCCAGTGGCTCACGCCTGTCATCCTAGCTACTCAGGAGGCTGAGATCTGAGGATCGTGGTTTAAAGCCAGCCCTGGGCAGAAAAGTCCATGAGAGGGCTGGGAAGGTGGCTCAGTGGTTAAAGTGCTTGCCTTGCATGCCTGAGGCCCTGGGTTCGATTCCTCAGCACCACAAAAGCAAAAACAAAAAAGCTGGAAGTGGCGCTGTGGCTCAAGTGGTAGAGCGCTAGCTTTCAGCTGAAGAGCTGAGGGACAGTGCCCAGGCCCAGAGTTCAGGCCCCACGACCGGACCCAAAAAAAAACAAAACAAAAAAAAGAAAAAAAAAAAGAAAAGTCCATGAGACTCTGATCTCTAATAAACCATCAGAAACCAGAAGTGGCGCTGTGGCTCAAGTG